TTAACCCTAGTAGTCAAAATTTGGAAATCCTTATCTTAACAAAAGGTCAATACTTAAAAAACCCATTTAACCCATCAAAAACACATTTAATTCATCAAATGCTGCTAGAGGACAATCAAAGAGACTTTTATTAAGCAGACAATCTAATCTTTTCTCATCTGTAAAATGGGATAATCAAAGTAAAAATTGCCAAGACTGGCTGGAGGATTAATGGAGATAACTGTAAATAAAGTGTGCAATACCATCTCCAATATGTTGTGTTATATAATTGTTTATTATTAGTATCATTGCAAAAATGTCCATAGTTTTAATAGAAAACAGTGGATAGTAGAAGCAACCAAAATTATATTTTATGTAATAAAATTACTTTTAACAATTGGTGAAAACAATGTTATATGCCAGCTGTCCCCAACCTTTTTGGCATCAGGGACCAGTTTCATGGGAGATAATTGTTTCACCAACAGGGAGGTGGGGAGTGGTCAAGGCAGAACTCCTCAGCCTGGTGCCTAACAGGCCGTGGACCAACCAGGGGTTGGGGACAACAGTCACATGCAAATTGAAGAAAAGCAAAGGACAGAAATAATTCTAAGTTAGTATCAAATTAGTAGTTAGATGTAGAAAGCTATTAGAAGAAATAAAATCAGATTGGGTTTGCTTCCAACTAAAGAATTAAAGAAAATTATAAAGGAATAAATCCAAAATCTTAAGTGAAAAAGGACTTCAGGATGTAACTGGATGGTGTCTTAGACGTTTCTAATCTTTGGACAATAGAAATGATAAAATCTGCTACAGAGCAGGCCTCTACATTAATTATTATACTTCCATGTAACATTTACCCATGATAAATGTTTGCCATGGAGTTCTAAATTTCAGATAGGAGGCTTATTTTGCAATTTCCATTGAATTCTTTTTAAAACTAAAGCAATCCCCCATTCATAACTTAATTTTTAATAGTACATGGACTAGAGGAAATAAAGCACTGGTTGCTTTAAATAAAGAAAAACATCTTACTGCATTTTTGTTATTTTATTAGTTCATTGCATGGGGAAAAAGAACCAAAAACTAAATCTTTTCTTCCAAATCTACATGTCTTAAAGCAATTAAAAAATCAGGACTTGAAATATTCTAAATAGTGTTAATGAGGCAGGTGTAATTAATTGCTTTTTGAATCAATATTTCAACAAAATGATGTTGAGATAGAGTTGAATTCTCCTGCTGCTTTGATTTGTCTATAACTCTCGGAAAAACATTGTTTTTCTTCCCTCCATTCATGGGTATAATAATATCCCCCACTACCCAGAGTGACATAAGAATTGAAGAAAAGACAAAAAGACCCGTATCTATGTAGTCACTTATGTGCAGCTGCTGAACTCTCCGAACGACAGCTGGGCAATTATGACTATCACCCTTGTATTCTAGAACACAGTCTGAAAATCATTTGTATTTAAGTTGAAGCTTCAGTGCTTCTGCATGTGTTAATTCTGTTTTCTCTTCATCATCCCTTCCCCCTTTGGGTCCTTCCCCACCAGCCCCTCTGCTTCTCTATTTCTCAATACAAAATTTCATCAAACCCATTCAGCATATTTTTCCCTTAAGGGGAAACAATGCTAAAGTTTATTGCCTATACAGTTATTTTTGCAACTTAGGAATAATTTTCAGCTTGGATTTTTCTATCGAAAATAAATTTTGAAGGCAGTTAATACAAGTCTTAATGTGTTTCTGGGAATATTGGGGATTCAGTTCTCACTCTGTATTTTCAAACCTCTTGCATTCTTATTTCTTATAAATATTAAAGTGAATGAACACAGGATTTTGAATTTCACTTGATTGTTGATAACCAGGGAAATTGCAAACTGCTTCAAGAAGTATTTGGAAACTATATATGATTACCTATGAATTTATTCATATAGATTTTATACTCCTCTCCACTGAAATAAATTTTTAGTCTGTGCCATCCTGTCCTTTGATATTGAAACTACATCTTTATAGATTAAATGAGATAAACCCCATCTTTCTGTTTACCTTTCCAACACTGTACTCCATCAAAATGAGAAACCCATAAAGCTCCATATTCCAGGCAAGGCATGGAAAGTTTTGTGTCTGGGGTTCATCAAGTGTGGTAAATGATTATTATAGCTTGGTGATATTCTCACTCTCCTCCTGGCACCACCCAGTCATGTCATTTACCCATGTATCCAAATATTTTGCAATTTCTTCCCAACGTTGAAAGGAAGGGAGTGAGGGAGGGGAGCAGGTAGAAGGCAGGCAAGCAGGAGGGAGGGAGAAAAAAAGAAACGGGGGGGAGGGGAAGAAAAAGAGAGAAAACAAAAGAGAAAGACACAGGCTACATGCTTTTTTGTAGAATGAATAAGGAGAAGGAAGAAGGAAGTTACAGACATTTTTGGAATGCTGCATATCATTTAATCCTTACATCAACCCTGTGGCCTCCTTTTTCACATATTCCACATCAGGAGTTCAGGAAATTGACTATCAGAGGATTTGTGCAATACACTAAAGGTTACGTATTTATAAAGTAGGGAGCAGAAGGACCAGGGCTTAAGGTCAGATCTCACAGATTCCAAAACCCAAACATTTTCAGTCTGTCTTGCTTGGGATGTTTTTATCTGCAAATGGACTAGTGGAGAATTCTCTCTCATTTTCCCAGATGTACAGGCCACCCATACCTTTGCACGTTTGTGTGACACTGCTACCAGTGGTGGGAGTAGTCAGCAGTATTATTTTGGGGTAACATTGGTCAAGGAACACCGCAGAAGTTACCCTGGCTAGTGTCTCCTCAATACCCTCTACCCAACCCCAAGAGTTTTTCTTGCCCCCAAACAAGGGAATCCCAGTGGCAAGAAGCTGTCAAGAATCAGCCTTTGGTGGAAGCTGAAGGGGGATGAATGAAGTTGAACTGGAGTCAGAGAAACTGCGCAGGCAAAACTCCTGCAGACACAGTGAGAACTGTGCATGACTCCCCACTGAGAAAGCGAGTGCTTGGATTACCGCCACAGTGAAGCAGCAATAGTGGTCAACTAGCCCTAGTCAGGAAAAGGTGCTAGGAAGACAGTTCCAAAGTCAAGAAAAGTAAAATGACTTGTGTTCTCTGCTCTGATCCTTTCTCCCTGCTCCCAGACTGGAGTGGTGGAAATGTAGATCATTCCTCATTATTTGAAAGCTCAAATTTAGGAGGTAAAGGGTAAGGTTGAAGTTTTGAACTGAACCTCTAAACTGACATCTTAATAGCTGTAAATGATCACAGAGTATTGAAAACTGCCCTAAGTGTTAAGGAAACAGAAAGATTCAGACTAACACAGCTGCAAATAGGGAATTGAGAAAAATTAAACAGTGTACTTGTACACATGAAAGTACCTCTACAGGAAAGTGTGTATTATTACTGGAATCCTCACAACCAATAGTGAAGTGGATGCAACTATTTTTTAGGCTCGGAAATTGACATCCAGAGAGGTGTAAGAACTTGCCAAATTAACAGTAAGTGACAGAACTCAGACTCCAGAAATCTTCTGCAAACCATTACGCTGCATTGCTCTAAGAGAGGTTAATACAGACCTCAGACAATTTTCCATTTTGAACTATGTTCAGATTAATTGAGCTCAATTATACATTCTTATGCAACTACCAGGAAAGATATTTACAAAGATCTTTTTATTTTATTGGAAGATAGGTATGATATAAAAAAAGAAAAGAAATACATACTATAATATCAACCCTAAAACAATACACACACACACACACACACAGACAAATGAAGTCAAGGAACTATACGATTATAGCGAAATGTTTAACAATGGGACATAGAGTATGAAATAGGAATTATCTTTTGATTTTTATTTTTTATACTAGAGTCTCACTCTTGCTCAGGCTGGTCTTAAACTCCTGATCTCAAGCGATTCTCCAAACTCAGCCTCCCAGTGTGATAGGATTATAGGAGTGAGCCACTGCACCCGGCCATTGGTGATATTTCTCTGACCCTGTACACTATATGTTGTATTAATTTCCTAAAATGATCTTCAAAACTTTATAATTGTGAAAAACCAAGAGATTTGGGGGAGATCTATTCTGCTATTCTAATACATATTTTTGTGCCTATTGTATTAGAAGCATAATACTAGACCTGTTTAGTTTATTTTGAAACTACTATAAGTAGTCAAAAGGTTTTAAAGCTTAGATGTTTATAAAACAAGTAACTTAATCTAGCAAGGAAGATTTAAAAGGGTGTCAGAGTAATTTTAAATTGTTTGAGAGTTTATAACTTCCATTTCACCTCTTAAAACATAATGCCACTTTTAAACATTACCAGGATGCCAAATTCTGTTTATGTATGTTTATTTCAGTTAGTTATTTCAGTTATTCATATAAAGAACATTCAGATCTGTGAGAGTTAACTATCAGCAGCTATTTCTAAAGTTACAAAATATGACAGCCAGACTTACAAAATCACCAATACCACAATGTAGAATTGTAGCCTTCAGTGGAGCAGGGGGTGAGCACACATTTCGTACACTGAATTACATGGAATCCATTCATACACATCACAACCACACAGTAAAGTTACTGGGGCCTCTTGCAGCTGTCTGTAAGCCACTGAAAAGCAATTACAAGTTGGAAAGCAGTGAGAGGCCCTGAAAGTCCTTTTGTCTTAACGCCACATTCCTTTCCAATGCCTCTCAGAATCGTTCTCCCTCATGCAGTATTTTCCGTAAAGATCCCCCTGTGTATAATACCTCTCAGAGGTCAGTAAAGCAGTGCAGTAATAACCATTTAGGCAATTGTCTTATTACAAATTCCCCATGCAATTCTGCCAACTGATAGGTCCGAATGTCTGGCCAAATCATTTTAATTAGAAAAAAAACTACCCTACAAAGCATGCTTCAGGAAGGCAACAGGCCATAAGATCCAGGGGTGTTCAGACAGCACCAGGAAGGAAGGGTGACACTCAAGGGCAGTATCCTGAGAACAGAGAGAATTGAAACACATACCTGAGCTCTCGGCATGGAGTCCTTTCACTGGCTGCTTCTTTCAGGTCCATTTCATTCAGTCATGCCTCAGTTTCTCTATTTGTAAAACAAGAAAAGAAAGGTAAGCTCCATCTTCTGAGGGATGTGGCAGGATCTGTAGAGTATTTCTTCCCTGAGCATTCTTGAATGACTTAACATCACAGAACTAATGGAAAGAAGAGGTTCTGAAACTTACCAAGTTCTATATAATAGACATAATAGTATTATTACATATTGTGCCCTTCCCAGTCCTGGATCTTTTATGAAACAGTAACTAGAGATTAACTTTAAACTTGTGCCAGAAATGGTGCTATTCAAACAGTAGTTGCCTGAAATATGTTTCTTTGGGGAATTGTCTCTCCATGACCCATGCTCCATTTCCTTTGACTTCCTACAGTCTTTGCTCCTTGTAGTTTTATGGTTTCCTTGATGACAGTATTTATTTTTTTCCCTTCTCCTAAAGAATTTCTAATTTAATTATGCAACTTTCTGCATAATCTCTGTGTTTAAAGATAGGAAATATAAATGCTAGTGACAAAAATTTACCATCTTATGTTCAAATTAATCCAATATAGTAATAATTTAGATCTTGGGGACTCAGTTACTAACGCATAACACATCATGTATTTCTCTTCCCTTTAATATATAACTTTTGTTCAATTTCAGGTTAAAAATGAAAATCAGGAAAACAAAAGTCAGGGAATAGTGCTTATTGAGAGGAAGACATCAGAATGATTTGAGGAATGGAAAATGTTAAATTAAAGAGATGTAGCCCATAGTCTGTGAATAGAGAAAATGAGAACATTGTGGAATCTTTGTTCTATAAGATAGGAGAGCAAATGCTACTTCATCCTATATATGATTAAGGGTGAGAAGGAATGGATCTAAAGTTTTGTAAAATATATTAGAATTTGGTTGGTAGCAAGTTGGTAGTACAATTGTTACAATAGAATGTGTTAAGTGTATATGACTATATTTTTCAGACATTAAACTCTAGTACTGTAAACCAAATAATAAAAATTAATGCTTATGCCTCTTACAGTCTTCAACAGTTCAATAGCCTGTCATAAGAAATACAAAGAAAAGCTGGTTGACCTGGTATGATGACAACTTTTTCTACATGATTAAAGAAACAAATACCCACTAAACATAAAACATTTCTGAGAACAGCTGGCTAACTTTATAGCCCTCTGTAACTCACATCTTTTAACACAAAGATTTAGTGTCAGAGGACTTATAAAAAACAATGAATAGGCAAAATATACAACAGCAAACATGGCCTAGTCCTATAGCAGATCATGCCATTTATCCATAAAGCACTTTATGATCCATATAAACAGTTTAGTCTCATCCACAGTCTCTTAGATTTTAGCTAAAAGCAACTAACTGAAATCTCCAACACTCTCTAATCCTCTGGCTCTGAAACTTTAAAGGTTCAGTTAAAGTCTTTGTAGTATTTTAAGCTCAAAATTAAATCTTAAATTATTACCTGTTGAATATTTTCATCCCCTATATATTTCCTAGTTCCTTGAAATTCTTTTCACTCTGGAAGTAAGGCAAATTAAAGATTTTCATTTCTACTCTTCTCTGTGAAAATAATTCCAACTAGGGGTCAATATTAATTTTCCTGATGAGCAATTTCTGAAAAGTTTGTGTGCCCATTCCCACCTTATTTTAGCAATATCTGCTTTCCTCACACATACTTTCTTTCCTGTGCAGGATAGACTGTTTGACATAGATACTGCATACTAAGGGGCACATTCTACAGCCCATGATCAAATCCACCTCCAGCTCTATGTCTTTCTACATTTTTTAAAAGAATTTCAGCAATGAAAAGCCCAGAGGGGGGACAAAAAGTTGTTGTCATAAAAACATAATAAAACTGGCATAAAAACTCTATAACTAAGCAAGGTAGGAATATCAATGGCAAAAGATGGCTAAGCATTTAGTTTACAAAGCATTTACTGATTCTGCCATAAAGGGGTGTTTCTCATGCGTACTTGAAAAATAAGATGCTAAGGAGAGTGAGGTGAGTGATGACAGAGCTACTGCCTGGCCACTGGGAAGAATGGGGATGGGAATTTGAGTGCCAAAATAGCTCTGGACCACCCACCACCAACTCTGTCCTCCAAGCATAGAGCAGCCTCTGAAGAGGAAACAAAGCCCATGGACAGCAAGGAGCAAAGAAGAGAAGTCTGCTGGGATGACCCAGACTTGAACTTAGAGGATAAAAGGAGAGCTGTGATAGCTACATTCAGTCACTACAACTCAAGAGAACATTAGTCAACAGAAAGCATCATCCACGTCAGGTTTCCTGAAGAGTTTTTATAATCATGTCCCCATGAACATAGAATATTCTTCAGACTAAATGGTGGTGTCTGGCTGGTTGGCTGGTTAATGCCATATTGTTGTGTTAACTAAATTAAGGGACAAAAGTGGATGAGGAAACAGATGGAAAGAGAGCCTAAATCAGAAAGGAAAGTACAAAGAAAGAGTGAAAGTATAAGAAATAGGGATGAAAAATGGAGTATGAGGTGAACCTGATAATCACTATACTACGGAAACCAGCCCCCGTATATTCCTGGAGAGAACTGGAGCCCATTCTACTATGTGAAGTGTCACAAGAATGGAAAAACAAGCACCACATGTACTCACCGTCAAATTAGTATCAACTGACTTAACTGACCAACACTTAAGTGCACATATACTAGTAACATTCATCGGGTCCCGGGCAGGTAGGAGAGGGCAGGAGGGGGTGGGATATTCACACCTAATGGGTGTTGTGTGCACGTCTGGGGGATGGACACGCTTGAGGCTCTGACTCGGGCAGGGCAAAGGCAATATATGTAACTTAAACATTTGTACCCCCCCTAATATGCTGAAATTTTAAAAAAAGAAAGAAAAACAGAGTATGATACAGCCCAAGTAGAAAATAAGTAAGAAATATGAGAAAATTGAAAACTTTTTCTTAAAATAATGTCATCTTCAGTCAGTTATAAACATTAAGGTAATTTAATCTCAAATGTTTAATAAAAAGGAATATCTCAAGCCATTTCTCCCTATTTTCACCTGCTCCCATTACTACTTAATAGTCTCAACCTGCAGTTCTTTTGGATGAGAAATTTCACAATTTGTATCAGTATTGCTTTTAGTGTCTTGAGAAGAAATGCAATGGAAATCCCAGCTTCTTTTACCCAGAAGTGTGTTTGAAAAGAAAAAGTATGCATTTCCTAATGCAACAGGAACTCCATATATTTAACACTTTGGAAAGGAATCGCTTCAGAGCTTGTTGGTTTTCTTAATCAGACAAAAACAAACAAACAAACAAACAAAAAAACGAAAGAAAGAATGAGGCACTGTCTAGCAGTTTGGTATCATTTTCCTTAAGCTTAGCAGTTGTATGATGGCTTAACTCTCTTCATCACCAAAATGAGTCTATGAACAGGTCTGAATTTAGGGGCTTCATGGTGTGTCCTGTGACCTAAAGAGTGACTGACTCTCATCACTGACCACTGCCCAGACTTCAATGCCCTTGATAAAGGACATGGCTCAAACTCATCCAATCTAAAGGAATCCCTGAACTGCTTATTAGAGTCCAGATTCTTGGTACCATTCAATAATTAATGGCTCTCAATCTAAAGTAAAGGAAAATTCGACTTTCTAGCAAAGATCCCAGGTGATTCTAAATGCAGGCTCATTTAAGAACCACTGCAATAAGTAGCAGTCCTTAGAATATAAATCATGTGTGATTTTGGTTTTCCCTATTGAGTGATATATGACAAAAAAGAAATAGCATGCCATGGGAACTATTGCAATAGACTTATAAAACTTACACTAAGAGGGTTTTTAAAACTGTGTATCAAACTGTCATTTGATCACCTTCAAAAAATTTATATAGAAGCCAAATAATATCCTATGGGAACAAGTAGACTTGAGAAAAAACTGCAACCCCAATAGCTTATTAATGGAACCAAGAACCAAATGTTCACTCCAGCCACCTGTGAACAATCCCTGTTTGACATGTGACATGGAAAGTGGTCATTTGTTTTAGATTCTGTGGCTTGCACCTCTGTAGATTTATGGTGATAGAGATAGCAATTCAATTTCCTTAGCTTTTAGTCCAATGGAAGTTAAATTCTCAATTTATTACTTTATGACCTTTGCCACAGAAACTAGTTGAATGCTTTAAATAGAAAATGCCTTCATTCGTTGTGCAACATGCAGCCATGGAAGATGAAGAACTTAAAAAACAAGAGGTACTTTTAGTGTGGTATCCCGTATGGCATAAGAAAATAAAAAATTAGATTGTGGATAATCTTAGAACTGATTAAAATGTTTTCTAAATTCTTCTAAAGCTATCAGCTATTCTCTAAAGCTTTTTAGATTGGCACCAAAGGAGCTAATTGGCTTAATTCTTTTTAAAGTTCATCACCTGTAATTAATGGACTAAAAGACTGGGAGCATAATGATTTTTAGGTCTGAAGTTTATAATCCCTTGGATTTTAAATGTACTTGACCTCTATCCTCTCCTTCCCTATAAACATCACATTCATGCAGAAATGGAAGGTAATTTGCCAGTCATCGAATTGATTAACTCTGAATCCCAGTAAATAGTTGAAATTTTGTATCCTTAGATATTTTGAATCTCTTTGTTCCAGGTTCTGTTAATTTTTGCATAACACTAGCATCACCCTCTTCAACAAAACATTGTCATCTTTACTTTGCTGTGGTCACCCAGGATAGCCAAGATCGACTAAGGCCCTCCAGCTTAATGTTCTCATAAAACATTATTTGTTACAGTTGACACTGACCCAGAGACTGAAAGAGAGTCTTAGCTATAAAGATTTTTATTTATTTTTACAACATAATCTTATGATATACATTCAAATTTTAGTAGAAAATAAAATTTAAGGTTAAGTAGTAATTTAAAAAAACACTGAGATAGTCTAACACAAATATTAATATTTGGTTACAGTAAAATTTATGTGAACTAGTTTTGGGTTGCCCTTTTAATAATGAATAAAACATAAGATTAAAATAATGAATATAATATATGA